TATCGATTTATTTTGAGTGCACTCACGACAAAGTGCACGTCACTCGCTAAGATTTGGTCTATAAATTAAATTCGAAATCATGATCGAACTCGAGTAGTTCGAAAAAAAACTCAGTTCAATAACTATCAGTCCTAAGCTAAACCTTTTGTATGCAGTAACGAAAATTGTTATTACTTAGCCCACCCCACCCCTCATTCCTGGATCCGCCCCTGTTACCGCGTTAAGGTATATATACAATTAGAGTGACTGTGTTACATAACGAGAAAGTAGTTTAGTTGGTTGTTCATCCGTGTTTCTTCATTCCAAGTCTTGTATTCGAATCCCCTTGATGATCTTTTTCTTTTGGACCCCAAAAATTGGCTGGAAGGAGTATTAAAAAAGGCAATAAATAAATAAATAAGTGAGAGAAAAGGTGACCTGCTATGAAAGGTAACTTTCGGGTAATTTGACTTAAATGATCGTTTTTATAGAGTACATGGGTTTTTATGATGCTTTTTATAATATATGGGTTTAAGTGATGGTTTGACAATAGTAGGAGGGCCTATTTGATGGAGTAAGGTGTTTCTACAAAAGTATATACCACTAAATAATACAACTGAATTTGAAAACTGCTTATTACGATAACTATAAATGCTCAAACCCTTTTATATAGTATATTTTATGTAAGAAAAAAGGATGAAACAAACTGGAGGCACCTTACACACAAACAGAGTTCGCATTGCATCCATTAAGTGTGATTGTGTGACTCAAGCAATTATCATAAGTACAGGGCTTAATGGCGTTTCCTTCACCGCCACTCCCCTCTCTTTTTTTCAATTAGTTTTTCCTTCTTAGTAGTCACTATTTATGTTTAGTACTTTTCATCTTAAGAACAGAGATCAGAGAACTTCTCAGTCTGAAAGACTTCGTCATGTCGGGAATTAAATTTCTCTTAGTTTAAAACTTCAAATGTTTCATTAACAAATGCACTCCATAAATTTTCTATCATTCACTGGGTTTGAATTATGGTTCTGGGAAGAAGCTAAAATACCTTTCAAGTATTTTGGTGATTTGTTTATGGATTTGAAAGGCTATGAATTTTCAGTGCATAATAATATGTTGGATGTATACCGTATGGTAATTAAGCATCAACATCTCCTAATATCAAGCTATAAGTTTAACTATCACATTTGGATGTCATGGAAATTTGAGCAAGAATGTATACATCCTAAACACATTATGAAGTATGACTAACAACATCTTTGTTATTTTAAGAAATTTTCAATTTGTTTATTTTGTTAGTGAACTCAAAAATACTTTAAAGAATACTAATCCGCTTGATCTAAAGCTTAATTTCAGAATGCTTTGAAGATAAGTTGTGTGTTCTCAAAGAAGATTCATAATCTAAGAACACTATTCTATCTCATTCAAACTAAACCGTTGGTTTGGACGTTATCAACAAATAGTTTAATCATTCTCTTTTTACCATCACAATGTATGTATATGTTCGTATTGAAGCTCCTTTCAGGTTTAGAAAATATGATGTAAGGTTTTAGTTTTGATTGTGAGTGTTCACATTTTGTTTATATGACATACAGATTTGTCCCATTATATGAACGTAAAATCTAGGAAGCACTTTATAAACCATCAAGTCACACAGAAGTTAAGATTTCTGAAAGTTTTTTTAATGTGGTAATATAAATCAGCCATAATGAGTGATTATTATGTTTAGAGCATGGTGCAGTTGCCTTATTTACGTTTTTACTTATGTTTCTCACCATCTGCTTATGGAAGGAAACCTATCTGATTAGAGAACTGTAATATTCAATGGGGGGGGGGGGGGGGGCGGGGGGGCTAAGCTCATTTTTCTCTTAGCTTATATTCAATTGATGTAAAACAAACTATGATATGTACAGTTCCAATTAGCAGAAATTTTAAGTTTTGTTCACTCTATGAGTGAACTTAAATTCTACTTTTCTGCCTGATCTATTTGTAGAGGCAGTTCCAAAATTAGAGCTTAGAGCTTCTGTTTTCTCATTCTTTCTGAAAGTGCATAGTTTAGTTTATCATGTTACGTAGTTATTGAAAAATCAACAGAGCTAAAATTATTGTACAATTGACAGAGTTATAAGGATATAAATTAAATTTTAGATCCTTTTTACACTTTCTTAATTAGTACCTTACTTCTATTTCTTTTCTTTGAAATAGCAGAAGGACAGTATGGTCTTCCCACCAAAATACTGGAAGCAGTGACAACTTCATTCATTTTTAAGTTAGTTTCTCAAGTAAGCAAGTTCATGATGGTTCCCTGTTTCTTTTTATTAAATAAACTATGAATATCTAAGGCTTTAAAAGTGCATTTTTTTAGTTCTATTGGCATCATTTTGTCTTCTTCATGTTCCATTCTACGTTACCCCTCTCCCCTGAGTAGTTGGCCTTTTGGATTTGGTTGGCTTGACAGGAACATGCTTCCGGTTAACTCGATTGCACATCATCTGAAAGTTGACTATCATTGAAAATTAAATCCTAATTAACCCTTTTTCTTATTTAGGCACAAAATTTGGAACTCAACTACCGTAACTAATTGACTTACTATATATCAGATATAGATGTAGATCATTTCCTATTGAATTTAATATTAAAATAAGTAGAACATCTCCTGTTAATGGCAAACCCAATTTCGTGCTCTTACATTGCTTATTATTTGTTTCATGTTTTCAGCCCACCCCATCTTTGAAAACATACAATGCCATCTCATTCCCAACATATGTTTAGAGGGTGATAATTGTTCATTGAATTGCAATTTGTGGTCAAGTAAGAGTATATTTTTATATATTAATGTGGGGGAAGATCCTGGTTCCCAATATGTATAAGAACGGTTGCTTCTCATGTTAGCACACCCCTTCTATATATTGCTCCCATATGTCAAACTACTTTGGTTCGTTTTTTTAAATGAAGTGTAGTTGCTTTGTGATCAGCATGGTAATGTTGCTGCTTTGCATACCCGTGATGCACACAATAAGGATTACTTCTTCAAGAACAAATCTGAAATTGGTATATATTCATTATTAACTTGATCATGGGTACATTAGTTTGCTGGATCCAAAATACCCTAATGGTCTATCTTAATGGCTAGGCAAAAACGTAGCTGTAATAAGGATGCAGACAGCCAGAGTGTCTAAAGCTGTGCCACCACCAGATGCTAACGCAGAGTTGAGATCATCCTTGCAGGTAATTTTCTGTCTTAGGAGAAGGGGGTATGTGGTAAATGATTGCTTCATTGGAAGTTGATGGTGTTGACTGATTTTATCATGGGCCAAAACACTCACTGTTAAAAAAGTGTTTAGTAAGTTGATGACGGTTTTGGTAAAAACATCAATAGAAAGAAACATAGGATAACCACTTTTAATATCAGTGCATTTTGGAAATTCAACCCTCACAATATCCTTACATAATTATTATTAGTAATACATAAAATATTCAATCTACAGATTTTTTAAGTAAAAACTATTTCGGGGTTACAATTTATAATCTCTGTAACTTTATAGTTTAAGTTGTTTTCTCTCCCTATATACTTTTTCCTTGGTTAAAGTAAAATATGGCATGAATTGTTATGAATTGTTATACTTTGTCAATTGGCTAAACTTAAAACAAGTATATATTAAGGAGTATTACTTATAAAATAAATAAAATAGAACATAAAATGTACTCCATATTAATAAAAAAATATTACAGTTTTTTTTGGAAGACAAAATATTACAGTTTTATAAGCTCCCTGGTGATAGACATCACATTTTGATTTATAATGTATGATGAAAAAACTACATACATATATTGTACTACCTCTGTCCCATAATGGTTGTCTCATTATTAATAAAGTGTTTGAAAAGTAAAAGTTGTGGTGGAGATTTGAGTAGAATGAAGTGAAGTGATATGAACCACAAATTTCTTACTAAAAAAGAAAACATGTCATCTATTTTGGGACAACCCAAAAAGGAAAGTAAGACAACCAAATGGGACGGAGGGAGTATGTACAACAAGCATACTCCGTCCGTTCTTTTTTATTAGTCTTTCTTTCCTTTTTGGGACGTTTTTTTTATTTGTCCTCCTTTCCCTTTAATGAATGTTTTTGAGAAAATACCCCCACTATTATTACTTTTACCCCACTTACTTTTTACAAACTACTTTCTCTTTCCTACTTTATCATCACTTTACTCTTCTTAATACACTCTCTTTCCTACTTTATCATCACTTTACTCTTTTTAATATACCATCTTTCCTACCTTATCATTACCCTACACACTCTATACTTACCCTACTACTTTATTATTAAAACCCGTGCCAAATCCTAAGAGGACTAATAAATAATACCTCCGTCCCCTTAAGTTTGAGACAAGAGAAGGTGGCACGGTTATTAATAAAAGTGAGTTTATGTGATTGATATTGAATTGATAAAGTAAGAATAAAGTAAGAATGATTTAGAACCACACAAATTTTACCAAATAAAGTATGGGACAATCTTTGTGGGATAATGGACCAAAAAGGTAAAATGGGACAATCATAGCGGGACAGAGGGAGTAAGATTTTGATGTGATCTCAGGACAAATACATTTCATTTTGCTTGGTATTTAGAAGTCAGAACTAGGGGTGGGAAAACGGGTCTTGGAACCGCGGTCCGGTCCGGGTAATGGCGGTTCGGGTCCAAAACGGACCTGTTCCACTTTTTGTTGCAAGAAAACGGTCCGGGTAATTTATTTTTAAGACCCGGACAAGTTCTATATATACCCGGCCCGGCCTGTTATATATATACTGTAAAGTAGTTTTTTAATACACTGGCCTCTGCCAAGTTAGTTTACTTAGCCCATTAGGTTGTGATTAAAACGTCTTGTTTACATTTATAAATAGTTGACTTTGTCCTTAGATATTACAAACTTTCTATGTTTACTGTTCAGCTAAAGTTTATAGCTGGGATAGTGCGACTTTAGCATACCTATATCGGCAGTTATGTCGAGGTTGCCATCGTGACGGTGGATAGATGGGTAGGTTTTTATTGCTCATACAGCTATGGTCATGGGAGCACATTCATATCGGCAGACTTGTCATACTGCGATATCATGGGGTAGATGGTGGTCCTCTTGATGATGCTATGGATCAGCACGCTGTATTTGGGCCACATCATGTTCGTGGCGAGGATCCTTTGGGTCGTAGGTGTGTTTATGATTTTTTTTGTATGACGTACGTGAATCCCTTTTATATTCTTATACATTACTGTGTGTCAGATGGCTATTTGCTCATGTCACGCGCACGTCATCCGCTGCTGGATTAGGATACTACCGAGATGCTTTGGATCGCTTGTGTGATGATCAAGTATATCATTTATATCATTAAATGTAAGTACTTTGTTTTATGTTTTTATAAACCATGGTCTAACATAATTTTATATTATAGATGACGTGGATGTCGTACACTGATGAGATTCTAGGACATTTGCCTCATGTTGCCCGAGAGCACATTGAGATATGGCGAGCATGTGTGCCCTTGATATGTTTTGATGTAGTGGAGCATCACTTTCCTGATCGCGTACTACACCAGTTCGGGTTGCAGCAGGTTACTCCCGGACCTTGTGATACATCTGTGGATTTGCACAAGATTGATAGACGGGGGAAGCACACTGAAGATTGGGGGATGCGCCATATTCAGTACTCCCTCCGTCCCGCTATGATTGTCCCATTTTACCATTTCGGTTCGTCCCACTAAGATTGTCACATACTAGGTAAAGTTTGTGTGGTTCTAAATCATTCCTACTTTATTCTTACTTTATCAATTCAATACCAACCACATAAACCCACTTTTATTAATAACCGTGCCACCTTCTCTTATCCCAAACTTAGAAGGACGGAGGTAGTATATCACTATGTGGGATGAGAGAGCGGCGTATATAGTGGACGAGATCCCATCATTAGTCCCCACAACTTCTGTAGACTACATGAGATGGTATTACACCATCACACGGGTGTTTATCTCTCCCAGTTTTCGTTTACCCACTGATCATTACCAGCCTAGCTCAGTCGCTCTTCATATGACGGTAAACAATATAGTCAATAAAATAGCTTTATTTATTTATTCATGAGTTTTTCACCAATAACCATGTTTGCATTACAGACACAGGCTTTGCGTAGCATCCATGACAGAGCGACTGCTGTACTTGATGAGGCGGTAGATGTACAGGGATATCATGACGCTTGTTCATGCATTGTTTCACTGTGCGCTGATGTATTGGGTCGAGTGGATTATGGATATATGGCCACCTCTCAGCATTCCACCGCATCTACATCTGCAGCAGGGTCTTCTCAGGCAGTCCGACGTGATAGAGTTGTTCTTTAGCCTCGTAACCAGCGCAGGCGTCCCCAAGCACAGCCACATGAACTTCATGATGATGATGACGTTGACTTATGATCTTTGTATTTAAATTATTGTGTGAAAGTTGTAGCATGCACTGGCAGATCGAATCATTTTGTGAAACACCAGATTATTTATTATAACTTTTATGGTTTATTTCAAGTTTTGTAGTGCATTGATTCGTTTTGTGAAAGTTTCATAATATGTAGTTTCATTGATTAGTTTATTTTGTGTTTTGGATGTATGTTGTCATGTAGTTTCATTCATTCGTTTTGTGTTTCAAATGTAATTTGTCTTAGTAAATCATATGTTTGGTTGTTTTTTTGAGTAGAATGGACTGTGAGTATGTGATGAGCAGATTTTCTGGTAAATACAGGTTTAGTTGTGTAAATAATGGTGCAGCAGCTTGCTTAACACAAGAGCCGCCACTTGGAGTGACGACTTTCATACAGCAGTATAAGAGCCGCCACTCCAAGTTGCGGCTTTTCTTAACCGTGGTTAACCTAGCAGTATTTCGAGAATTATTCTTAACCCGGCAGTATTTTGGGAATTGTTTGAAGAATTCAATTGTGAGCAACATCCATGAAACTTCCTCCATGTGCAAGTATGTCTCTGGGAAGTTTCCTCACACCAAGCAACCACTTTCCTCACACCTCCATTGAAGCTTCTCCTAAGCTTCCACCCATCTTCCTCCCACCTTCTTAGTACCTAGTTTTGGTGCTATAAATAGAGAGCTTGGAGAGTCTTTCTATCATCAAGTAAATTAGAATAGATCATCATAGCACAACCAAGAAGAGTTGTGAATATCCTTGAGAAATATGTGAGGTGTTGTTTTGAGAGTTTTAGTTAGAGCTTGTATGTCTCTTCTTTCTATTCTTGAAAGTAATAGAAGTGTTTTTCTCTCATATTAGCACGATCCTGTTATTCCCAACATTGTTTATTTAATTAGCATTGTTCTGGGAAAAAACTCTGTTTAATTGCAATGTCTTGATTAATTTATATGGACAATGTATGATACATTGATACCTTTTACGGTAGAATCTGGCAATTTGCGGAAATTATTGGATTTATATACATATATACACGATTTAAACGAGATCGAATCCTTCCATATTCAATTCAATTAATCATCAATATTAATGCTTGATCGATTGAAGTAAATATTCGGACGTCGCATTTGATGTTCCTTGATTATTTGCTCCTCCTTATACGTAAGATAACGAATAATACCATCAACAATTTGTATTCCGGTGCCGCCGCTCATTAGCTTATTGCTCTCCGCAATGGTAAACGGATGATTCATCCCATTTTGCCCATGTGGCGGCGGCCGATGTTGGTAGTCAACTGAGCTGCCGTCTTGCCCGTCGCCGCCAAAACCGTGCACGTCATCATCGTAACATTGTTCTTTGCTTTGTTGGTCGGAGTTTACCGGCTTGAAAGCAACGCTACTATATCCGGCATGGTGCATCTTGTCATCAATGAAGTGACCGCAGTCACGGCCGCCGCCGATGTGAGGGATGCTGCGGGTTGCCAACTCCCGCCGCCGCCGTGTTGTACTGTCGTGTTTGGGAAGACGACATATAATAGTTAAAGAAATTGTTCAAAATAGAACTAAAGCATAAACCAAATTTTAAAATAGGATAATAACCTAATAAGTATGTGTGATTTATATGTTTTCTTCATCTCAAAATAGAATCTTTAATCTTTAAAATAGGAGTGCATGAATTATATTTAGAAAATTTTCTCCAATAGTTAAGAGTAATAATTAATACTAGTATTAGGATTGGAAGTAGGGTTGGGCTCCTCACCATGTGCATGCTCCTAGATGAGCCTTCCTCTGAGTATTTGGCTAATTGGTTCTTGTTGCGAGCATTAGGGCCACTTTGGAGAACCATTTTTTACGTCTTTTTTTCTTCTTCTTTTAAAATATATAGAGGATTAGTTTTGTTGAATTTATAAGGTTGGTAATTGGATTCCTAAAGAAGACGAGAATGAAAGAGACTTCTTTGTTAATTATTCTTCTCATAAATGGATGCTCCATTGACTGGTCGTAATATTATACAAACACCCACCTAAACTTATACATTTGGTATATATTCTTCTAGGAAATAAAATTCCCAATTTAATTACTTTAATAGCATGTCAAACCTAGGGCTGAACACGGATCTGGGATTTCCCGTACCATACCGAGAACCGTCCCGAACTGTACCAGAACCGAGCGTACCGAAAAAAATACTCCGTATAATATTGTACCGTACCGTACCGATCGAACATTTTTAATAATATGGTATGATACTAGTTCTTAGTGAGAACCGTCCCAAAAACCATATTGAACCATACCGTCCCAAACCGTCCCGTAATGTCCCAAAATAATCGCTATAGAAAATAGTATATTAATTAAGGAGTATATTATATACCGGTATTATATTAGTTTATTAATCTACATTTTGATTACTCAAAACTTTGGACCCCAATACAATTATACTAAATTTTAAGGAACACTTAAACATACGGGTACTAGATGCCATCTGAAGGCACCAGTTTAATGGCTATTGCTACAAATTAAAAGGAATTCTTAGCCGCTGATCGAGGTTCAATCCCTTGTGACGTTCCCAGTTTTAATTTCTATTAAAAAATGTCCTTGGAATTTGAACACTTAATAGTTTAAAAAGTATTCTTGTGAAAATTACATTTATTTGGGAAATAAGTGTGTATATACTCCTTATCATTTTAGGGTTATTTACATGTCCATCGAGACTTTCAAGTCGTTCATTTAAACTTTAAACATGACTAGTGAGATTATATTGTAGGGTATCAAAAATTCCGGCGCCACCATCGTTAATGGTTTCCTTCTTCCAAAAGAAAAATTAGTTGTGAATTACTCATATATATAGAAAAACGGAAATTGACTCATATAGGAGTAAAAGTTTAGCAAAAATCCAAAAGGGGAGTACTCTTGTTTGATTCCCCAAATAGGAGCTCTTTCCTCCTACTCTAAAACATACGTACATTTTCGTTCCAAACTTACCCATGTGTTGTTTACGCACACGACGCGCGCTAACCATTTTTTTCTTCGTTTCCCTCTGTAGTTACTCCATGACTGTTATGCAAGTCTCTCGCGTCAACCGTTTCTTCCGCTCTGTTTCCTTCCATATTTAGAGATTTCTCTGCAAGTCATACCAAACCCAAATTTCCTTCATCTTTTCTTCTTGGACGGCTATCCTTGCTTCATTTAATGCCTTACACTCAATCTGGTAATACTCACTCTTTGTATTTTTCTAAACGTCCACAATCACTCTTTGTACTTTCTGTACTTTCTTCTCTATTAATTTTCATGAATTATTTGTTAATACTCCTATTTTGGCAAATTCACAACCAACTATTCCTATATTTATATTTATATTTATATTTATATTTATATTTATATTTATATTTATATTTATATTTATATTTATATTTATATTTATATTTATATTTATATTTATATTTATATTTATATTTATATTTATATTTATATTTATATTTATATTTATATTTATATTTATATTTATATTTATATTTATATTTATATTTATATTTATATTTATATTTATATTTATATCTATATGTATATCTATATCTATATCTATATCTATATCTATATCTATATCTATATCTATATCTATATCTATATCTATATCTATATCTATATCTATATCTATATCTATATCTATATCTATATCTATATCTATATCTATATCTATATCTATATCTATATATATTTATATTTACATTTATATTTATATTTACATTTATATTTATATTTACATTTATATTTATATTTATATTTATATTTATATTTATATTTATATTTATATTTATATTTATATTTATATTTATATTTATATTTATATTTATATTTATATTTATATTTATATTTATATTTATATTTATATTTATATTTATATTTATATTTATATTTATATTTATATTTATATTTATATTTATATTTATATTTATATTTATATTTATATTTATATTTATATTTATATTTAATAAAATTCATATTTAGAAATAACATTGATAAGAAGAAATAATTTCCTAGAAACAGTTAGAAGTATCTCTGCAATTTCATTCAAACAATATACAATGTATATATATTAGGAATCTATAAAAGAAAATCAAACAATTTTTAGACGTAGATTCAAATCATTCTCTTGTCGTTCAAAGCTAATTGTGTGCAACGTCACATTTTTGTGTTGGTTTTTTTTTATATTTTAAAAAAACTTTTAAATTAATATGTGACCTTGGATTTAAAATAATTAAAATAACCGAAACTTTTGGAGAAGTGTGAAGCTATGTTGTAAAACCCGGACTGGTGAGCGACCCGGTCATGTGTCTGGGTCACGGGTCAACCCGGACACGGAGCGTCAACCTGGTCAAAGCCGGAAAACCGGTCAACGATTATACGTCTATATAATAATAATAAACATATAATTATATACACTCTCATTATATATTTTTATTTGTATTGTACATTTATATTATAATTTGGCATGATTTTCATTCTTAAATAAATATATAAATATATTACATAGTTTTTCTTTTTAGGGAATTGAAATTGCAATTTTATTGGTTTAAAAAATGCATTAAAATTAAAAAAGAAATTACTTTTTTTTTGGAAAAGATCGAAAACCGGGTTTTCTCGGGTTTTTCGGGTTTCTTGGGTCGGGTCCGGATCGGTTTTTTTCGGGTCAGCCGGGTTTTTCTGATTTTTGACCATTTTCGGGTTTTGAAGAAACCGAACCGGATTTTTGTCCGGGTCACCGGGTTCTGGGTCAACCCGGCCGGGTCGGGTCGGGTTTTTAAACATAGGTGTGAAGTAAACAACTCAAATTTACATATGTAATTTCTATATTTAGAACTTTATATAAAGAGTTACATACCCTAGCATCATGAGCATAAATTTTCACCATAAATTATATAACCACAACTTTTAAATTAATATGTGACCTTGGAGTTAAAATAAAATTTTATGTAAAATTTAGGGAATATAAATTATACATGTAAATTAATTGAAATATTTGTCTATTTCTACACCAACTCGATCTAGACCACAGATCGACGAGTAATAATTTGATAATGTTGAAACATTCAAACCCTAACTTAACTAACTGTGGAGCAAAACGAATGATCAGCCCAAGATCACCATTATCCGAACGATTCAGAAGAATAGTAATAACACAAAATGAAATTAAAGCTCGATGATGGAAACTCGATCTGCTGCTAAAAGGAAAAGGCTACTATTGATCCAAACTCGCTGCCAAGGCAGCGACCGCCGCGCCGAAGACCGCCTGAGTGATCTCCCTGACGCCGTCCTTTACCACATTCTCTTCCTCCTCCCTATTAAATCCGTCGCGCAGACCAGCGTCCTCTCCCGGCGATGGAGGCAGCTCTGGTACTCCTTCCCCGATCTAGACTTCACCACCCTCAATCCCTTCACCATCCCATCGCCGCTCAAGATGGACCAACTGCACTCTTGGGTTTCCATCGAAGCTGACTCCATCAACCGCATCTTGGATCTCCGGCGGCGAAATTCCCCGATAAGAGCCCTCCGTTTCCGCGCCCACATCACCTTCTCCCGCCTCAACCGTCTCATCCGCCGTGCCGTCAACCTCGACGTCCAAGAATTGGACATCGAGGTCGCCACGGCCGACTACTTCAACTTCCCGAGGAGTGTCATATCCTGCGACACTCTAAGGGTTTTCAAGCTGAAGTCGAGATACCCCGGATTCAGGTTAGTGGTGGAGCCACCTTAGATCAAATGCGTTCACGTGAACACTCAAAATTTTGAAAAAATACTCCGTATATTATTATACATCAATAATGTACATAGTATAAATTTAGTTCAATTATTTATTGTTCTTTCAAGTTTTAATAGTATAAAATATATGAAAACAAAAAATCTAAATGACAAATCCGCCACTGATTCAGGTTCCCGCCTTCCGCGGTCATAAATGGCGGTTTCCAGTCGTTGCAAACGTTGTCGCTGTCGTTTATCATTTTAAATGACCAGCCGTCGCTTGTGAACGTGTTCACGGATTCCTCGTTTCCCATGCTGAAGAAGCTGAACCTGGACAGGTGCAAGGGCCTGATGCATCTGAGCGTGAGTTGCCGGGCGTTGGAGGAGTTAGGGCTTGAGCAGTGTTGCCAGATGGAGCGTTTGGAGGTGGTGGGGCCCAAACTGGAGAGGCTGCGGGTGGTAGAATGTTTTGACTCGTACAGCAGAAATGAGAGTTGGGTCAAAATCGATGCCCTAAGACTCCAAAACATTCTCTGGTCCGACAATACGCTCACTGATAGATGTTGTTTACAGAATTTAGGGTCTCTCCGGGAAGCGTTTGTCGGCTTCTTTATCCTTTCGGACGACCTGAGTGAAGTCAAACTTCAAAGTGTATCCCATTTTTTGTCCGGCATTGCCTCTTCTCGCTCTTTAATACTTGATTATCTCTCTATCCAGGTTTGTGTATATCTTAATTGTTTTTCTAAATTATACTCCGTACTTTGTATTTAGTCAAAGTATGAAATTGTTTAGCATTGTTTGCTTACTACTACGTATGTAAGATTGCTCATTCTGCCTCCCATAACTTAGTCAATTTTGATGGGGACGCATGATGAATAAGAGCCATGCTTGGTGTACACCTTTTTATACACACCTTTATGACATCTATCTGTCTAGATAGACAACTCTATGAGACTTTACAGAGTTGTCTGTATACAAACAACTCTGTCTGCGTATGCAAACAAGTGTGTCCCAATGTGATCACAAAAACGTGTACACCAAGTATTTTTCAATAAATATTCAAGTTTCTAGACAAAAATAATAATCACAAATCAATAACTTTCTATTCAAAATAGAAAGTTGTTATGTATTTAGGAGAACTATAAAAGTAGGGAGTACCAAATTTACATATATATGGGACTCTATTCATATACGAGTATATAATTAAGTGTGCTCTAAACCTCTCCTTTAGGAAACTCGTGAAGGGTGAGTTGAAGAATGAGAAATTTACCTGACGTGTGAGTAAAAGTTCCAACTTTTCTCATAATATGACATAGAAGTCTTTTTTCCTAAGATGATACTACAGTTATGGTAACCGTTGTGTATTACTCCCTCCGTAACATAAAGATCTTCCCATTTTGACTTTTCACGGTCTTCTAAGTTGAACTTTGACTGCAAATATCTACATATCTATATTTATAAAATTCATAATAAATTAACATTCAAATAATACGTTTTACAATGAGTTATATAAAATAAATTTTTAATCATAACATAATGTGAGTTTTGAATAATTAATGGTCAAAGTTCATGAAGTTTGACCCAAAAGAATCAAACTGGGAAGATTCTAGCGTTACGGAGGTAGTATTTATTTTCATTCCAGATTCGTCAACTTTAGGGGAAGTTGGAGGCCTCTACGTGTATTTGTTTTATGGTCATTTTGGTCTTTTAATATTCTTCACCATACGGATGCCAAGTTTTAAAAACCTTTTGTAGTCATACGGTGGTAAAAAAACATACCAACTCATATATTGGGAATTGAGATGAGTTTTACTCATAGATAGGTATTTTTCCCGTGAAGAATATTGACATATTGTGGCCGGTTTAGGCGTTCGATCTGATTGGGATGAATACTGACATATTGTGGTTTAGGGGTTCGATTTGATTAGGATGAATATTGACATATTGTGGTGTAGGTGTTTGAAATTTTGAGTTAGCTAGGTCTAATTTATTACTTTGACTATTTCCCTAAGATTTAATAAAAGTATTACAAATCAAGCAAGTACGTGTTTCTATGGTATCAATGCAAATTTTTGGGTGCATGTTCATTCGCCATATATAATGGTAATTTTAGAAACTATTCACTCCGTCCAAATATTAACTAATGTTTTGACTAGGCACATAGATTAAGAAAGTTGGAAATCAGTGGACTAATAAGCTTGTGCAATGAGAGAGAAAGTGAGGACAAATGCTATGAGTCATACATTCTTTGCCAAAAGGGGGAAAATGAGTTTATATTGGCACGGACGGAAAAGAAAACAATGAAGATGATATTGGGACAGAAGGAATAGATAAAAAGGCTAGGATATAGTACGGAGTAGTATATTACTATATACGTACATACTACTCGAGTACTCGTAGTATTATGTAAAGTTTAATTTGATTTGGATGAATTTGTAATGCTAGACATGCAATTTTAAATAACAAGGAATGTATAGTAGCTCCAAAGAATTGATTTCATTTTGTAAAATTTGCATGCAGATTCTGTCAAGAAACAATCACATTGCTGGTGTTTCATTGTGTGGTTTCAACAAACTGAAATCCTTGGAATTGCGCACGGGATTAAGCAAGCATATTATTCCGGAATTAGCAAACCTATTCAGGGGTGCTCCAGCCATCCACACGCTTATAATCAAGATTGAAAGAAGTGTTAGTTCGTTTCTACTTTCTCTTAATTAATGATTGACATACTTACGATTTCCTTCAAAGACTTCAATTCTTCGGCGGGGTTGTTTCAATTGAAATGACTGTTGAATTTTCTAACATTTGTTTCCTAAAAACAAATCAGCGCCAAAGTGATTCTTGATGACAACCATTTACTTATAAAGTCAATGTGATTATATTCGATTTAACTTAAAGCGATCTTATTTAATTTGTTAAAATTCAGGGTTTCATCATAAAAGGTGAACCTGATATGAAGAGTAGTTCAAAGTTTATACAATGTTTTATTGTTGTATAACATTTCGGTGTGGGACAAATACTTTAACATTATTTAATTTCAGATGTGGAAGACGGGGCAAAGGCATGTATCAAGCAGATCAGTGGGAGAAGAATATTGGGAATCACAAAGAGAAGGCATGAAGGGCTTTTTGGAGCATTTAGGGGTTGTGAAGATTCATGGAGTGACGGAGTGCGAGAATGAGACGATAAGCTTCGTGAAGTTCGTCTTGAAGCATGGAAATGTGTTGCAAGAATTGTTGCTATATGGAAAAAGACGACGCAAATCGTGGGATTATTCTCTTGTGCCCGAAAAACTCAAATCCCAAATCTTGGGATTTTCACGTGCTTCTTGTAATGCCAAGATTGCATTTTACTAATCTAAAACCATTCCTGATTTCCAATGAGTGATCAGATATTAATTGGTCAATGAGATACTACTGTCATCTGATTTGATCTCCACACAAATTTGTGCTCGAAACAAGAGTATAGTCATACATACAAAGGTATCAAGTTTATCTTCTAGATACTTCTTAAAGTAAAATATGTTTAAACATTAATCTTAAACGTGACATTTGAACGGATAATTATAAAAGTGATTGATCGCTCGATAAGGAGGAAAGTTTCAGTTTGGTACATCAAGTTGTAAGCGGAGGAGTAAAGAGTACACTAAATCCCCAAAACAGTGCTAATTTAGTCCATCAGGCTATTAGGGAGTTTAAAACGCCTAGGTGGCAAGTATTAGCCTAAATGGTGGTGCCAAGTCAGCTTGAGTAGGTGACCTCTGACCTGGGCGTGACCATTACCTTAACCCGACCCGGTGACGTCGGCCTATTCACAAAAACATCCTCCATGAAGTGAGCTTTGAAAGGTCTGCTTTCTTCAACCCTAAGGATCACCAATGGCTGGGAGAATGAGAACGCGAGCAGATGCAGCAGTCATGCACTTAGTGGAGACGAAGAACGCCTGGAGAAGCTGCTCCGGCCATGTCGTGTTCCAGTTTAAATGATCAAACAAAAAAAAAAGACAAAAAGAGAGAGGGAAGAACGAGCATCGCTGGAGATTCAGAGAAGGAACGAACGCCTCAAAAAAGGAAAGAACGCCGGAGCACCGTAGCTATGCTCGCCGGACCGTTTCCACGTTGGAGAAGAGAACTTAACCGTCATCACCGGGGAGCTGAACCGTGCCTACGGAGTCACCGATATGTGAACGAGTGACATTCATGTTATTTCCATATTTATATTTGTGCTTTTAATTAGTTTAGATTGATTTGTACGTCGGAAATTACACACTTTTGGTGTAATAGTTTAGTTTGTAAAATGTTTGTAAATTGTTTAGATTAGGTTTATTCTGAGCTCAAACAGGTCCAAGATCACTCTAGGGACCATTGGTGAACATCACAAGTGGAAGGAAGGTGCAAAAATTCCAAGAAAAATGAAGATCCTGATTTTTGGTATTGTACCCGGTCGAGTATGCCCTATACTCGATCGGGTAAGTCGCTGAAAAATCAAATCGGATCAACCCGGGAACAAGGCAACATGCAGGGGAGATTTTGACCACGATCGAGTGTCCATACCCGATCGGGTGGCCGACATACCCGATCGGGTATGCACCAGTTTTTTACACTTCTGCGCAGCAACCGAGTACCCGATCGAGTGCCCTTACAGCCCGATCGGGTACACGACCCTACAAGCCTAAAAAGCCTATAAATACACCCCATTTCCTCCACAATAAACCACCAATTCCTATATACTTCTAAGCTCAGTTTAGACAAGTTATTTCTTTATATTTTCTTCATGTTTAGTCTCCAAATGAGGAGCTAAACTCTTCCATCTTGGTTTTGCTACTTTGAAGCTTAATGAATTGTAAGACTCAATCGTTTTCATCTTGATTTTATTGCTACTATCGAATGAATATACGGCGCGTGTTCTATATTGATTCGGTAGTAAGTTTTATTAATGAACGCGTCTCGTTATTAATAACTACCCTCGATGAATTGGATATACTCCTCGATTGAGTATTCGAGAGGAAGATAGTTAAAGATATAACCGGGATCGACGAACATTTCATTAAGTGGATAAAAGCAAAGCCAAGTCTTCTTCTCATTAATTAAACCACATAACTCGTTCATCTTTGTGTTTAAATATAATTTAAGTTCATAAACCAATCATAAAAAACCCCTTTGTTACTTATTTCTAATTCTATAAAAAGAGAAGTATTTCTTTCCCTGTGGATACGAACTTTACTACACTATACTACGTATTAGTGTCGTATTGATTATTATTTTGAGTGCACACTAAGACAAAGTGCACGTCAACGAGAGAGACCAAGACTGCAGTATCTGCTTCAGAGAAGAAGGAATCTGCGGGAGTGCCGTTTCGGCTTCGGAAGAGTTGCAGAGTCACGCACCAAATTGATGCTACATGAACCGGAGGAGGTCTGTAGTACAAGTCGCCACCTTGGACGGATTTTATCCAACTGTAGCTGTGCCGCCGTGACCATCGCATCGCTGAAGGCTGAAGCAACCCCTGCGTCACTAGCACTACGTGAGAACAACGAAGAACAAAGCTACAGTACATATATATGGATTCCACATATATACTACCTCCGTCCCATTTATATTGTCCCGGAAGTGGGCGGCACGATTATTAAGAAAAGTGGGTTTGTGTGGTTGATATTAATTGATAAAGTAAGAATAAAGTAAGAATGATTTAGAGCCACACAAACTTTGCCAAATATGGTATGGGACAATTTAAGTGAGACTTTCCGAAAAGGTAAAACGGGACAATATAAATGGGACGGAGGGAGTATTCCATACTGCAAAGAAGGAAGGTGTTAACGAGTTCATTCAAAGAGCGGTAAACTTATATGGTTATACCCCAATAATGGTGTGATAGCATGTCCTTGTAGAAAGTGTAAGAACTCAAAAGTGGTTGAATTGGGATATTGTTAAGCAACATCTATTTGAGAAAGGTTTTGTTGAAGATTACTATGTATGGGTAGCACACGGGGAGATATACACTTCAAATGGGTTAGTTTATCTAGATCACGCAAGCTCATCTCATGGCAATATAATGTATTTGAGGTTCAATATGATGATCCATACAAATCGATGTTTGAGGATGCAGTAAGGAATGAACTTCCAACATGTAATGAAGATGGCATTCATGTGCAGCATGATGATGAGCCTAGTGCAGTGGCAAAGAAAATGTACGAAATGTTGGGCATGACTAGTCAACCGTGTTTTGATGGTTGTCCAATGATTCACTTGAGCGCAATGACTGAAATTTTGAACATAAAGACTGAGATGAATTGAGGCTGCAAAAGATAGAATTGCTCAATTTGTGAATAGGTTCTTCCCAACTGAAATCCCAAACAAGCCCATACTAAATTTTAATAAAATAAAAAAGGAAATTATCGAAGTTAGGAATGAGAAGCCATCTATTGATTGTTGGCCAAAGGGGTGCATGATCTACTGGAAAGGGGACAACGAGCTAATGAAGTGTACGTTTTGCTTTGGTGTATAGGGTCAGTAAAAAAAACTTAAAAAATTAATTCTATTTGCAAGAATGGAGTATTTCCCGCTTACTCTTAGATTACAAAGACTGTGTGCATCAGATTCTATAGCGGAGAAAATGAGGTGGCATAAAGTTCACCAAAGGGAAGAAGGGGTAATGCGTCATCTGTCAGATACAAAAGCTTGACAATATTCATTTTGATTTTGGTGAAGATCCAAGAAATGTTAGGCTTGGTTTATGAACAGATGGCATGGGTTTCAACCATTTGGACAATTCAGACAGAAATACTTTGGTTGACCTGTAATCGTTACACCATACATGTAACACCATCCCCAAGTATATTTACTTTTATGTAAATTATGTATTGAACCTTATGAAAAGGTTAATGAATTTACGAGGTTGTAAATTTCTGTTAATTCTTTTGCGTGAATAGTAAATTTGCACGTGGGGCCCACACCGGGAGCGGGGACTACCCGATATTCCCGAGACCACATATGTTATTCATCTTGGTATAGATAATAGTTATATGGTGGTGGACATTCATGTTGGGCCATGAGAAAGGCATTGGTTTGACCGATTGGTCAAACGAGGCCCAATTACCAATTTTGGTGATTTATCGGATAACAGTCCAAAATGAATTTTGGAGACCTTTAAATTAAAGTTGGGGAATTTATATTCATTATAAATTCCCGTAATGATTGAGTACATACTATATATTTTATTTGACCCGATAAAATAAAATATAGTTAAAACAGTCCGAGAAATACAACTTTCGGGGCCGAATGTACAATTCGGGACACATTGGGGTGACTTCCCACATGAGTGGGGGCCACCCCACGTTTTTGTGTGCTGGGAACTTGACTTGGGGGCTGTGGAGCATGGGATGGATGTAGGAATAGATGGGTGAGACACGGTTGACAACCAAAGGGACCCTCCCAACACTCATTGGCACAATTGAGACAAAACAACTCCCAACCCTTTCCTCCTAGGAATTATTTCGGGCCAAGCACAAGGAAAGGAGAGGAGAGCTATGCAAACTTCCATCTCCATAGCCAAGAGAGATCAAGAAAGCAAGGAGCTCAAGGAAGAACAAAAAGGTTGCAAAAGTAGAGAAAAAACCTTGAGAATAAAGGTGAGAAGCTCCTTAACAACTTTTCTTCCATCTTTTGATTTCATATGACTTATATATCATATGAAATACCCTTAAGGATGTTCTACATGGGTACAAGTGTGGAACAAGGGGTTGAAAGTAGTTCTAAGTCCAAGAACGGACTTAGAGGCCAAAGAGACCGGTTCGCCGGAAAATAACCTTTAAAAGGTTATTTGTATTGATATGGGTTTTGTGAGGATAACACCTTGTTAGGCACTTGCCAAAGGTGATTTAAGAGCTTTCACGAAGTTTGAAGAGTCGCCGGAGTCATCGTCGGAGTTCGTCAAAGTTTGCCGGAGTTTCGCCGGAGTTCAACCGAGAAGGGTAGAACTTCATCACGCTCATTCGAGGTGAGTGGACGGCTTAATGTCTTATAACTCTTGGGTTAATTATGAGATTACCTAATTAAATGTTATATGTGTTCATAATGATGTTTAAAAGATGCTTAAACATGTGATTAGCCAAAATGATTAGGCTTATATGAATGACCCATTGATATCATAAATGAAGTGTGATATGAAAATGTTTATAAAAACATACATGATGTTTTAAAGGATAAAAGGGGCATAAAATGCTTGGTTATAACTTAATACATGTTGGGATTAAGTTTGACACGAATCGGGTTTGAAATGGCGAGTCAACGAAAATGTTGACTACGTTGCCCAGGGGGTAACCGGCGCCGGTTATAGGCAAAACCGGGGCCGTTTATGGATCGGCATGGCCAGTTTAATTAATTTAATTAATAACCGGCGCCGGTTATGTCAAAAC